CTTTCATCATTAACTTTAGAAAACCTACCCCAATTTATATAAAATGTTAGCCATATTACTAATTTATGTGATGGCATGAGGTTAAGAGTAGGTTCAAACTCTGCCTCCACTGTATAAGAAGCTATGTAATCTTGAGCAAATTACTCATCCATTTTGTGCCTTGCTTTCTTCATTTGTAAACTACGGATATGAATACTTAGATTATAATATTGTTGCAAGAATTAAAATTGCTAATGTGTGTTAAGCATTCTGAACTGTAGAACAGAACCTAATAGACTCTATAAATTTCAGCTTGTTATTATTTCCCTTTAGATTTGTTTTTAGCTACTTTTTTGGCTAATTTTCAGATTAATTAATTTACCTATTAGTCAGAATTTGAATACTGTGACTAACCTAAGCAAAATAAAGATAGTGTCTAAATCTACTTGAGACATTAAAAAATAGTAGTTATTTGGACTTGGATCACATTGTACATCAGAGCCCATGTACTGACAGTGACCTGTATTCTTAGAGTTGACTAAAATTGAAAGTAAGTTTTTGTTTTCCTCAGGATTATTTTATGTGTAGATGAAAATATTTCTTAGAAACATTCTTCACAGTAATTGGAAATAATGAAGGAAAATATTATATGCATAATGTGAAGAAAACGTAATAACTTATCTTTAATATGCAAATTAAGAAAATGACTTTAATAGTTATTAACATGTTGACTGTACAGGTAACCTTCAGGTTCAGATTGTGTGGGACAGCAGATAACTTTGTCTTTGTAGTCCAAAAGAGAGGCTGGATTGCCCTAAACATCCTTCAACCAAGAGGGTAGCAGTTTAATTTAGAGTCTAAACTGATTTGCAGACTACACACTATAGTTTTCAAATAAATTGCTTATAAAAGCCATTTACATGGTGATGCACTTTAAAGGTGGAGTACATTCTAGGATAGAATGAATGAATGGAGTTGTATTTACACAAGTTTCCCAGATTTGTCGGCTCAGTGTTGTGAGGGATGGGGCAGAAATGTCAGTCATCTAGAGGTGCCAGTTTTTACTCTGAGTGGTTTGTGTAGGCCTAATGGGCAGCAGATGTGTAGACATAGTGATAAGAATAATTGCCACCATTAAGAGTAGAATGATTATGTTAATTTGTTAGGCTGTTGTAAGAAGATGTCACCAACTGAGTGGCTTAAACAGTGAAACTGTGTCGTCTCTCGGTAAGTCTGTAAGTCTGAGATCAAGGCACTTGCATGGCTATGCTGCCTCTGAAGGTTCAAGGGAAGGATCTGCTCCAGGCCTCTCTCCTGGTTTCTGATAGTTCTTGACTTGTGGCAGCATAATTCCAGTCTTCACATGGCATTCTCCCTGTATGTGTCTGTCTTCACAAGGCCTTCTTTTTATGAGGACATCAATCATATTTGATTAGGGGTCCACACTACTCTAGTAATGTTAGCAACAGCTGAATTCTCAAGTAAGGCTACATTATGAGGTACTGAGCTTTAGGACTTAAACGTATGAATTTGGTGTGGGAGGGTGCAGTTTCATTCATAACAAGTGACCATATATCTATTGTCCCAGTTGAGACACTTACGAGAGTGAAAGGGAGTAATATTGTATTAGGGTTCTCCAGAGAAAAAGAACCAATAGGGTATGTATAGATACATTATATGTGAGGAGATTGATTATGGGACTTGGCTTACACAGTTATGGAGGCCAAGGAGTCCCTGATGTGCCATTTGCAAGAGACCCAGGAAAACCAGAGGTGTAATGTAGCCTGAGTTTGAAATTCTGCAAACCAGGGGAGCCAATCATGTAACTCAGTCAAAGGCCAAAGGCCCTGAAAACCAGGGGTTTGTTGATGTAAGTACTGAAGTCCGAAGGCCAGAGAACTGGGAGCTTCTGTGTCCAAGGGCAGAAGATAGATGTCATCTCAGATAAAGGAGAGAGATTGAGGGAGGGAAGGAGAGAGAGGAAAACAGAGAGAGAATTAATTAATTTACTGTTTCTCCATCTTTTCGTTTTATCCGGGCCCTCAATGGATTGAATGAAGCCCGCCCACATTGGTGAGGGTGAATCTTCTTTCCAGTCTACTGATTCAAATGTTCATCTCTTCTAGACACACCCTCACAGACCCAGAAATAATGTTTTACCAGCTATCTGGCCACATCCCTTAACCTAGTCAAGTTGACTGTAAAATTAACCAGCTATTACTATATTGTTCTGGGATAACAGGCATAAAGGGAGACTACTTTAGATAAAGCTGGATATATGGTCAGTGCACCCATAAGATAGAATTTTCAAAGTTTCAGTGAGGTTGGATGACTTTCTTGGAGTTACAGCTGGAAGGAGGATGAGCAGTATTCAAACCCAGGACAATGACATTCCTAAGAAGGATTTAAAAGCTATGCCTTAAGTTAGCCTTTTTAAGTCTCTGAACAGAATTCCTATATTATGACAGTAGATAAAATTGGAAATGAATTTGTTATGTTTCTTCTTTAAAATTCCTTACTAGTCTTTAACTATATTTCTTTGTTGATGGATTTCGGCTACTATGAAAGGGAATAGTAACCTGGTATATTATATTAGGATTAACATACAATTGTTTACCTGATGACTGCAAGTCTTTTGTTTTTGTTTGCTAGCTATTCTATTGCTGTCTGGAGAACAAAACCACACATAAAGCTATGTGATACAAAGAGAATAGCTATGAATAGTAAATTATCTTAGGCTTGCTAGAAAAACAGTTTTACATAAGTGTAGAGCACATTACTATTCTTACCATGCTTTATCCCTAATATAGATTTGACTTGTTGATGGATTTCACTGTTAATAAATAAGAAGGAATCATTTTAGCCTTCTTTGTTATCTATCACTAAAGTAAAACAAACTTTGAAAAATCTAATAAATGACTTTTTATACTTTATGAAGAAGAAAATGAAAAATTATCTGGAATTGTGTGACGAAGGAGCTACCACCATTTAGCAGTCACATTCCGCTGTTTTCTGCTTGTCCTTTTCCTTTGTGGTTCAAGGTTAAGTGATTAAGATCGCAATAAATGAAAACTCCTGCTGTACTCCTACTATTGCTGCTGATGCTGTTACTGCTAGTGCTGTGATGTTCATTTCTATCATCATCCTGAAGTAGAAAAATTCTAGAAATATCAGAGAAGTGAAATCATTGTGACTTAGAGACTGGATGGAGGGAGAAGTGAGTAAAAAAGTGTCGGGGGGAGTGTATCTTGGATGGCTCCCAAGTTTTTTATTTGGTAACTAGGTGAATGTGGTATAACTAATCAGGACAGGATATATAGCATGCACAAGACCAAATGATAAATACAACGAATTCAAAACAATGCATGCTGATTTAAGCTATTTGTGAGATACACAAAGGAGGGTACCTGTTCGATATATCTCTACCTGGAGACCGGGGCTCAATAGACATCTGGAATTTGGATAAGCATGTACAATCAACTTAGGGTTAAAATAAGATTATATTGTCCTAGATGTTACCTAGCCTTTGTTCTACTGAATGTGAAAAGCCACACCTTCCTAGAGTCACAATGATCCTAAGGTTCATAATCCTAGGTCAGCTTACCTACTGCAAAGGTTGATTTTCTCTCGGAGAAGTTGGCAAGTATGGATGGCTCATTTAAGGGTCCTGTTCCTGTTTGTGCTGTGATTGTTGTTTTTAGTTTCTTGCTACTTTTGGTGTTTGTCACCATTTTACAGTGCCTGGTCCAAAAGGAGAGTCCTGAGTGCTCCTCCGCAAGGAGGAGAGGCTGCAAAATTCTACTTGGCAGGGGGCACCGCTGCAGGTGCTTCCACATGATGTTACTGCTGGAATCAAAGTTTGGGAGAACAGTGTAAGGCCATTACGCAACGGGGCCAGCCTTGAGACCCAGGAATGTAACTGTCCATTTCATGAAGCAGTGTCAGGGACAGGGGAGAGAGAGTCAAGGAAGGCCTTGATGAAAAGTGATCAGTGGATCAACCAACAAGGGGCATTGTTGACCCCGTAAGAGAATTCACTGGGATAACACATATGATATCCAGATTGAATTAGGATCAAAACCAAGTGGAACATGAGAGAGCAAAGGAAGAACATACCCTGCTAGTCAAAAGGCCTGGCTCTGAAGGGAAGGAAAGACAGAAGTTTTATATTAGCTGAAGGAAAATATTTTATCATGTTAATCTTTGATTGCAGCCAGGGTCTAGCATCCTGCCGTGAAAGTACATTGTTCAATGAAAGAATAAATCAATTTGTGATTTTGAGCTGTGATTTTGAACTACTGTCCATCATAAATAATTTGGCCTCTTCAGATCCCTTTTGGAGATTACATTTTGTTACTTCACAGTACAATTTTTTTTTTTAAATGTGCTGTGTATACATGTGCTTGCTTGTTATGAAAAAACATCTTGGCTATTTTCTAAATTATAGCCTCTAGGTGAGAGGTATTTGATTATATCAGGAAGTATGGATTAATTATTATTTAGCTGAACTACCAATGGTCCTTTTGAACATATACCGATTTCATGAAATTCTTTTGAAATTCACAGTCTTAACTGAGACAAATTCATTTATATGAAACAAAAAATAAAACAAAGTAAGATGTCAATGAATCAGTTAAATAATTCCTTTTTCAAGAGTAGCACAGTAACGGAGCAAAGTGATTAACATAAAATATTTTTAACAAATTCTTAAAATTAGGAGATTTAATTTGAGCTCAACTATTAAAAGAAATATGCAGCAAATATGCTACTGGTAAATGTTGTTTATTTTAGGGTATTAGAAGTGCTCTGAGCTCTGTGCTCTCTCCGTAGGAGGGGAGGCCACAGTCCACTGCTGTCCTGCACGGCCCATGCTTGGGTCTGCCCCTCTGTCCCTGTAGCCACTTCTTGAAGTAGCATGGGGCATATGTGGTGGCCAGGATCTGAGTGTGTGAGAAGTGATAGCACAGGACTGGTTCTGCTACTTTACCTTTTTCTGATATGGAGGCTTCCTTTCTTTGTAGGCGAACGTCCCTATCAGTGCCCTTACTGTGAAAAAGGATTCAGTAAAAATGATGGACTGAAGATGCACATTCGTACTCACACCAGGGTAAGATTATAATCTGTCTCATTAATATCGATAATAAAAACCATACTTACTTTAAAATAAATGTATTTAACTTTTTTACAAAATAAAGGCAATATACTGGAGGTTATATATCTATATTTATGATAGACATTTAAGGATAATTTTTTTAAAAGATAAAACAATGAAAAAACAAAAAACAAAAATTGAAATCCCAAAGGGATTTCTAGTCTTTGAATCAGGAATCAATTTTCAGGAGTTGCAAATGACCAACTGCCAGATAAATAGATTTTTAACATTTTAATACTACAATATTTAAAGGTTTTTCTTGCAGAATATTTTCCAGTAATAGGAAGATTTTTAATAGAGTCTGCAAGTGTGTCAGCATTTGGCCATTGAGTAATACTTTTGAGCAAGTGTATTTGCAAAGACATTGCAGATAAATTACCAGGACAGGTGGAAAATAAGGAAGTGTATCTCAGTGCTTCACAGGGCATGCCTAGTGCTGTGGCTCATTCTTCCCAGGGTGCTCTTTGTTCCCTTGCTGACAACACTTTTACTGGACTGTTGTCACTCTGTTATCTATGCCTTTTCCAGACTCAAGTATCTGTCTCACATGCTTTTAAAAAAATGTAAGCAGCTCATTCACCATCAGCCACCATTTCATAGCTCACTATTCCATTTAAGGCACAATTAGACACTTTAAATGAACTTTCCACATGGAAATTTTGTATTGTTTTAAATAGCTGTTCTTGATTTTGCTCTATACAGCATTTCACTGCATTATCTTTGACAGATCCTTTTCAGTTTGCCCTTTTAAAGTGCTTATGGTCTGTATGTAAATGATATTTTTTTTTCCAAATTTTAAGACTTACCTAATCCCCTTTAGAACAATTCTAATTTAAGCCTCTCCTGAATTTTACTTTTTACCTTAGCTATAAAATAAAAAGTTTGGAAAAAACACATAATAATAATATTCTTCCCAGTATAAAAATATTGTAGCCTTCCATTTCAGTTCTGTAGCACCTAAAAGCTATCCTCTGAAGTCCCCTTAAGAAAATACTCTTTTTGTTTTTGTGGTGAAGAGAGGAAACTTCTCCACTCATTAAAGCAAATCTATAACAGGTTTATTCTTCTAGTTTGTAGTATCATATTCATATTATATGAATATTAGGAATTGGAGTACTTCCTAGATAGAAAAGTACTTCATAAACCATAAAGGATTAGACAGATATTCCTGTTTATAAAGGATTAGACAGATATTCCTGGTATGATTTAAATGTACAATACTCAAAATATTTCACAATGAGTATTATGAAGGAGATTTAAATTAGTTTTAGATTTGGAAGTTATTTTATATGTGAGCAATTGTCACAAATATATCAATAATATGTTTATTTAGAAGATGCCAACATATAGGCAAAGGTTCGGGTTCCTCTTAATAAAAACCAGTGATATTGGCAGAAATTTACATATGATGCTGTTTTACTTGATTACTGAAGATAGACATGTTTACACACAGGATAAGTTTAAATCACTGCACGAAAAAATATCTTTTGAGTTTTCTCCAGAAGGTGAGATGTTTCCAATTCAATTAATTTGTTTCTTACTTTGTTTTAATATAAAGTAATTAATCAGAATAATACAGATAGTTAAGATGAATAAAAATATAAAAACCACTAATTACATGCTAGTACTCTCTAGGCCTTCACATTCATTAAATCATTTAAGCATCACAACAACTCTATGAGGTAACTGTTATTATGATTTCTTTTTGAAAAACAAGAAATTGAGGCACAAACCAAGTAAGTAGCAAAGTTAGGATATGAGAGACTGACTACAGAGACCATTTGCAATTTTTTGCCTATTATTTAATTGAATATTTTCTGATTCTACTCTCTCATATATTTTCTGGTATATTTCCAGACTAAACAAATTATAGTAACGACCCCAAATTTAAAAGTCCCGTATTCTTTTGAACTTTTGAACCTCGATTTAAAGATCCCAATACTGTCTCCAAAGTATTCAGCTGCAGATGGCCCCTTGTCAGTTTTCTGACATTAACTACACGGAAAGAAAACAAATGCTAGGCTTTGACTAAGGGAACTAAAGAGAATGCACAGACCAGAAGGACCCAGGATTTTAGGCAGGATCCCCAACAATGAGTAGAGAGTGCTATCCAAGAAACAGGGTAAATATGTGTAAGCCTTTTGGGTTTTACCTCAAACTCTTCTTTAACATTCCTTTTTCATGCATTTTTAAAATATTTTACTCAGTTTTATTTTGAAAATTCTGTTTCCTAAGCATTGAATAAATACACATAACCTTTGCATATTAGTCCAGATTTTTCAAAAAATTTCAAATTTTTAAAAGCCTACTAAGGTTATCAGCTAGTAAAATCAAACTACTATTAAAACTCAAAAGATATTTTTAAAATGTTCTAGAGAAACAACCTCTGCAAGGTCATATTTTCCCAGTGTTATTTGCATTTTGTAAGTCTCAATTCAAAAAGATACTATTACATTTGGGCCGTAACACATTTCAGCTTCAATTTTACATTCACATTACGTAGACATTTAGAGAGCTGTAATTCCCAGACCCTTTTGGTTCTATTTTAAAAGTTTTTAATTCCAGTATAACAACAGAAAAGAAAAGCTATTTAATTCAGTAAGGTACATCTTCAGGAAGTTTTGGTGAGATGACCCTAGATGCTGTGTCAGGCCTCTACCCCCAGGTTTGCTTTCTGTAGTAACTGCACGAATGCCTTCTTGAAGGAACACAAAGCCATTTACCCTAGTTATTGTCTATAGGGTGCAGTAAGAGCCCCAGATGTGGGAGATAATTTTGCTAAATTCCAATTAATGATTGACCTTTCATGGAGAGACCAGGGTTTGAGGTCAAGGCTGGTGATTTTATTTCCTTCAGTATATTTTCTTTATACTTGGTTTTCAGATTCTGGCTATGTTGTGCCTATTTATGTTTTTCCATTGTATTTTTCCAGCTTAGATCTGTAGTCTGCTATCTTTAATTATATCTCAGAAAATTCTTGGCCGTTAAAAAAATTTTTTTAATACCTTTCTTTCTGTCTTCTTATGGGGCACCAGTTACACATTAGAGTATTTGATATTGTTTCAGAGCTCTTGAGTACTCTATTCTCTTTCTGTTTCCTTTGCATTTTAAAAAATCTCAGTGTTTTTCTCTGTTTCTAATTTCTATTGACATTTTCAATTTCATTGATTTTTCTACCTCTGTTGTTCTCAGTCTCCCTATTGAAAGAATTTATCTTTGATAATATGTTTTTCATCTCTAGCATTTTCACTTGGATTTTTAATAGTAGTTTCTATAAGGCATGGCACAGTGGATTATTCCTGTATTCCCAGCCCATTGGGAGGCTGAGGTGGGAGGATTACTTGAGGCGAGGAGTTTGAGGCTGCAGTTGGCTATGATTGTGCCACTGCACTCCAGCCTAAATGACAGGGTAAGACCCTGTAAGACTCAGTTCATAAAAGATACGATTACATTTGGGCCATAACACATTGCAGTTGCAAAGTTACATTTAAAAATAAGAAAATAAATGGTTTCTATATTTCTGTTGAATTTGCCATTTTGTTCATCTGTGTGGCCCACCTTTTTCACTAGATTCTTTGACATATTAATTGTAATTATTTTAAATTCTCTTTTCGTATTTCTACCATCAGGTCCATCTGTGGATCTCATTGTTTTGACCCTTCTCTCTTGATAATTAGTGGAAAGGTTGCAGGAGTTTGCTTTTTAAGTATCACATAATTTTTGATTGAATGTCTGTTTGTGTGTGTGTGTGTGTGTGTGTGTGTGTGTATGTGTGTGTGTGTGTGTGGTGTGTGTGGTGTGTGTAAAAGAAACTAAGTCTGTAAGTCTAATTGGAGACTAAAGGAAATACTGCTTATGCCTGGAAACAGGTACACCTCTTCTTCTGCTAGGCCATTAATGTGAGTCAGGGCTTGAGTCATTCTTATCAGTAGCTGATCTAGGTTTGGGGTTTTAAGGAATCAACTCTCATTGTTTTCCTTCCTACCCAGTTATGATAGCTCTCTCTTCCTCTGACAAAGGTGAGACATTCTGTGTTCCATTATTTGACATTTAGTTCATCTGATTGTCTTGTGACCTTACCTCACAAAATGTTTCATGACCTTAAGCTCAAAAGAATGACTCTAAATTTTTCAGCTTTTTGTCATTAAGTTGGGGGTGATGTTTTTTGTGGCTTTCGACATTCTATAAGCAGTGGTTTCTTTTTAACTGTGTAGGGTTTTGAGGGATAACTTTTTCCACTTAATAGCTCTAGATTAATTTTCTACCCAGGAGCTGATAAATTCAGAACATCTTCCATTCCATGTCCAGTTAGCTCCTTTATTCAGTCGGGGAAGCACCCCTACTTAGAGTCCCTATGTGGATTTAGGCCAATTTGTTATGGTTTCTATAAAGGGGTCTGTTTCCTAGGATGCAGTCAGACCCTGGCAACCTCAGGCAAACCTCAGCAAGCTCTCCCACAGGGCATTGGCACTTGGAGCCATTTCTCATCTGTGTCTAGAACTGCTTTCTCCTATCCCACTCAGGTTCTTTGTTTTTTGCTTGGGTGGTGGATGAGACAGCTATTTGGATCGAGCAGATCATCTTTTGGAGAATATATTTTATTTATTAATTTTTTTAAGAGAGAGGGTCTTTCTCTACTGCCCAAGCTGAAGTGTAGGGTGCAGTCATAGTGTACGGAAACCTTGAACACCTGGATTCAGTGGTTCTATAGTCTCAGCCTCCTGAGTAGCTGAGAGTACAGGCATGAACCACCATGCCTGGCAATGTTTTTTATTTTTTGTGCAGACAGGATCTTGCTATGTTCCACAGCCTGGTCTTGAGCTCCCAGGCTTAAGTGATCTTTTGGCCTCAGTCTCCCAAAGTGCTGGGATTATAGGTGTGGACCACCATGCCTGGCCAAGATTGTCTTAGTTTTCACACTGTAGCTTTAAACCAAGATTTGGTTTGAAGATTTG